TTATACGGAGTATGTATATTCTATTTTGACCACATAAATTACTAATAATATGACGACACACAAAACATATATATTACTCAAGACAATGTTAAATTTTTCATAATTTACTAAATTATCAATTTCATAGTTAGTATTAATACATAATCAAATACTATTCTAAAATAATTATAACATGTTAAACTAACTTTACGCTATTCAAATGTCCTATATTTACCTCGTTTTATTTAATTATGAATTCAAAATTTATTTTCAGAAAAATATTATCAAATACTAGTACTTCTCATTTAAAAATTTTAGAAAACGATTTTTTATTTATTTTTACTAATCACACATTGAATATATTAATCATCAGATTTTTGTATTGGTAAACGTGAAAATGAAAACGTTACAATTAAAAAAGGAAAGAAGTATGAAGTAAAAGCTACACATTGTGAAGTATGAAAGCCAAAAATGTATGATTTTGCTACTATTTTTAATTTGTATAGTGATGTTTTAATTTATCCTTACTTCTCAACAGGAGGGTTTGCATATGCCGGAGCTTGGTAAAGTAAACCAACTCAATTAAGCTTCCAATATACAGTCCGATCTATTAGTTTGGCAAAAAAAATGTTGACTATGATAATAAATACGATCTGCTTTTGCAGGTTCTTTTTAATATTCCAGTCTATTAGCATAATGAGTTTCATCAATAAGATACATAAGTGGTGCCACCCTGAAAAAGATGACGAAGACAAAAGGTAAGTGATCGAGAGCTCTAAATAGAACCTAAACCTATGACCTCAATAATTAATTTTGGACCAAAAATTTTATGGCTGATTGTACTTTACGGTGCAAAAGTCTTACGGAGTATATGGATTCATTTATAAATTACATGATTAATTTGGTAAGTGAATGAAGTTATAGACATAGCGGACACAACCTAGCTAGCTAAATGTACAAAACCAAAATAACAAAACACGCTATTATCCGTGCAATGCAGTGATGCACCAGTGAATTGACTAGAAATAAATTTGGAAAAAGGGACAAAAACACCCCTAAAGTTGTCAACAAAGGAGCTCTATGCCCTCAAACTTATTTTTTGAGCAAAAATCTTTAACAAACCACAAAAGAGAGCAAAAAGGCCCTTTAACTAACGGTCTAACAAACATGCCATCGTTAGATGCTCACTTGGCTATTGTACAAGACTACAAGCCGTATAGACAACAAAAGGAAAGGGGGAATAGTCGAAACTAATTTATATTTATTGGACTAATAAACACTAAAATAATACATTGATTTGAGCTTTAGGATACTTATTCCATAAAAATCTCAATTTCATAATGTTTAATTTATATTAATTAACTAGATTATCAGTATTCGATATTGTAAATTATCAATCACTATTAAATACAGTCTCCGTTCCAACATTTTTAAGAGCCCATTTGGTGATAACATTTTTCGACTTATCAGGCTTATCAGTCAACTTTTTCACCAAAAAATGTAACTTTTTATTTCACGCGCTCAATTGTGTAATAATAAGAAAAAGTAAGGTTGTATTGACTGAAATTATTATAGGTGATCATTTAAGCCATTTTTCATTTAGCCTTTTTTCTTTATCTTATTAATAAAATATATTTTAATTTTTTTATAAATTAGCATAATCAGTCAATCCAGTCATTTCAGCCAAAACTTCATAAATTTCAACGGAAACAACCAATACTGGTGATTTGGGTAGTACCAAACGGGTTCTAAAACTTTGACCAATTATATAATTTTATTGGAAATTACTTATAAAATAAATTACGAATTATATATTTTATTAAAAATACTTCCATAAAAGTACAAAATATATAACTTTCATAACACCTCGTATTATATATATTAAAATCATGGTCCCAATTTTATGAATGCCAAAGTTTTTTGAGACGGATGTAGTCCAGACACATTAATTAAACAATTCTCAGACAATGTAAAGTGATTTTAAAAGAGTGAATTACTCAAATATCAGTAAAATATGTGCTAAATGCAAAAATACAACCCCAGTGTTTTAAATTGTCTAAATAATCCGCTGCCAGTCGTCATCACCTCCACCGGAGAAAGTTGTTGTATAGTTCTATTTACAGAAGATTTAGATTTTACTCCTATTTACGCAATTATGTTTAGGTTTACTCATGTTTAGGATAATTTCCCAATTAAAAGTACAAATACTTGTGTGACTTTAAAATTAAAAAATTCATTTAATTCCGTCTTTTTTAAAAACAATTTATTAAACAAGTAAAACGTTTAATTATTCTAGCCAGCATTAGAATAAATATAAATTACCTAAAACAACTAGCAAATAATGTTAATCTAAAATAAATATTTTTATTGGGTGAGCATGCACATGTGGTCATTTGAGGACCAAAATATTCCAATTTTTTTATCCAATGTAGCACAAGCTAGGTACAACTTAAAAGAAATACGTAGATATCAAACATATATACGAACATTCGAACATATATATGGAGAATTTGTTTGACATACGGAACGTATAAGCCAACTGAGCTAATCTAATAGACGAATGTTCTGTTTAACTTGTTTCCGTTTGTTAAGGGGTCTTTTTGCTCTCTTTTGTGGTTTGTTAGGGATTTTTGCTCAAAAAATAAGTTTGAGAGCATAGCTCTACCTTGTTGGCAACTTCAGGGGTGTTTTTGCCCCTTTTCCCAATAAATTTTAACAAAACACTATATGTATATTACTCGGTGTATTTTTTTACATTAATATAAAAAACAAGAAAATCATTAGATACTTCTTTATTAGTTAAAATAATAATATTTGTCTTAATGTGTGATTGGTGATCAAATAAAATTTATTATATTTAATATTAATCATATTTATCAAAAGTATTTTTTTTAAAAAAAATTATTCAATATTTTCATAACTTAATTACGACATTTAATAAATCACACATTAATTTCGTATTTAATGCAGCTTAATACTTCGTATTTCTATGTTGATGGCAAATAGTATTCTGGATCCCCACCATATTACCTTTATACGTAGTGTATAGTGATTTGAGTATGGCTTGAGAAGTAGTTCTCCTTATGAGTAGATGGGTCAATCTATAATATAATACTACGTATAATTCATGAGCTGATGATTTATAATAGTGTAGTTATTATGAACTTATGGATGTATTAATTTTAATACTCCCTCCGTCCCAAAAAGGTTCGCCAAATTGACTTTTCTTGGTCAATAACAATCAATTTTTACTAATGATATTTGTTAACACGAAATTAATTTGAATATGAAAATTATATCAACATGTTCCTTGTTCAAAATATTTTCATAAAAGTATAAAATTGATAAATTATATACAAATGTAATAATTAAAATTATTGGCCAAAGTTCGTCCTCATTGATTAAGAAAAGTCAATATGATGAACCTTTTCAGGACGGAGGTAATACGTAGTTGATAAAGTTATCATTGAGCTTATAATAATTTCTTTAAATGAGATAAAGCTATGATTGAGCTTATAATTTCGTAAAATGAAATGCAAACTTTTGATATTTATATTTTCAAAAGGCGGGTGAATAAAGTAGATACACCCCATCCTTCAGGGCCCAACACCGACCGGACAGCACGATGGGAGGATGTAAATTGGACTATAATCACAATCTGACGATAGAGAGTGAGGCTCTGTCCCCGATACTTGCAGAAGCCCTATGCATTTTTCAGCATAGTAACCCCTCATCACAGTTGACGGGATTCGAACCCAAGACCTAACCATTGTGGCACTCCCTCGCTACCAGTTGAGCTACGCCCACCGGTTATAGATTAGACTTTCTCTTCCTCACTTGTAGTGGCTGAGCCAGAGATGCCATTAGCCATATATGTTTGGGCGGGTGAAGCTTAAATAAATAAAAGTTTAAATAGATATATCAGGGAGACCAAAGTTTAAATATATTTTACTACTTATAAATATTTATGCATATATTTATACCTAATAATGCATGCTCCGATCATGTGCAACCAGAGTTCAGCATTTTCTTGTTTTTATAGTGTAACATTTTGTTGTTGTTTAAAATTACTGGTTTATTTCTTCTTACATTTAACAAGATCGATTTTTTTATGCAGTAAAAAGTATTGGGTCTTGCTTATTTTTGCCAATATTGTGATATGGTTCCCCATAATCTTTATGTTCTATTGGTATGTGATACGCACGTTTTGCAAGGCTAACTTTCTCATTATCTTCGGAACGGTCACACTCATCGGAGGGATGTATAGTCTGTCTCTTCTTCGCGGTGTAAGTGATATATTAATATATTTCCTCCGGTTTTTTTAGTTGCAACGGTCAACATTTCACACTTGTCAACGCACATCTTTGACCGTAATTATATCTTAATCTCTTTTAGTTAAAAATAATTAAAAATCAGATTTTGAAAATTTGTAATGAAATGAATTGAACAATATCTTTTTAAAAAAATAATTTTCGTAAAATAATACCGTAAAATGTAGTCAAAGTAAAACACGTGAATAGTGTAAAATTCAACATGTTGCGATTAAAAAGAAACGGGGGATAGTACATAATTACATAGTACAAAGTATATAATACACGGAGTATATACTATTTATTATACGTAGAGAGAGTTTGGTTCAAGTAAATAAAATACTTGTGAGTATAAAACATTAATTAGAATATATTTTGTATACCTCACTTATTTAGAATAAAATTCTTGACCAATATACTTAAATCACTTATAAAACATTATAATTACACTTTTATTCTGATACACTTTAGAGTATAAACATTAAATATACACTCTATGTCTCTATGTATATATTCTATAAAACATTATAATTAGTTATAAGTATAATTAGTATATTTACTAATTACTCTATGTTTTCTAATAATTACTCTATGTTTTACACTCACTTATAAAACATTATAATTACTTATATATTCTAATAAGTAGTATATACTTAAATAGTATATACCACTTATTCTAAATACGGAGTATAAAATACTTGTGAGTATATGTTTAATTTTTTTTTTTCGATAACATGTAAGTATATTAGAAACCGTCAAAGAGTTTGTCTGTACACCAAAAATATGAGCAAAAATGTAGGCTATCCTGATATTGGATAACCCATCACCTGCCAAAATAAGTGAGCCATAGCAGCCCCCCTATACTACCTCACGGCCAATCACAAACAGAAAAGGTGATGGGCGTAAAGTTATCAGAGTACTACCAAATCACAATGATAAATGCTATACAAAATTTTATAGACAACATATTTTATCCTAGCAAAAACTTCTTCCTCTTTAGGCAGAAATCCATCAAATCTAGCTGCATTTCTGACTCTCCAAATCCAGTAGATGGTGCAGGAGAAAGCAATCCTAGCAGCCTTGGCTTGCATATTAGCTCCGCTCCTTTCCTTCTTGATCCATTTGACCGAGCTAGCTAGGGTCCCCATCATCCGTGGAATGCCAAGCCATGCTTTCATCATAGTCCAAACCTTACCTGAAAAAGGGCATTCAAAGTAAAGGTGTGGAGCCGTTTCCGGTCCACCCTTGCACAATACACAAGTATTATCCACATCTAATCTATGAAGAGTATCACACGTGGCTAACCTATTACGGAATGCCAACCAAGTAATAAAGGAAAACTTGGGAGGGATGTAATCTTTCCAAATAAATGGCATCCACACACGGGTGGCAGCCCTAGTCCTAAGCAAATTATAAACCTTGGAGGATACAAGCTTGCCATTGGATTGAAAAGCATTTAAGCCAAGTATAGCACTCGGAATGTCCGAAAATTTGGAAAGTATCTCATCACGGATTAATGCAATCTTTTTAAATAGTTGTGAGTCTCTTTCATGTGGGACAAATTCCCACACACTCCTGCCCTTTAGATAAACCCCATGGACCCACTTGACCCAAAGTGTGTCCTTTTTAGTATGTATGTCCCAAAAAGTTTTTGAAAGTAAGGCCTTGTTCCAAACCTTCGTATCATGTATACCAAGTCCGCCTTCTTCTTTCGGGAGGCAAATATCAGCCCAGGCAACCCTAGCAAATTCGCTCCCCCAAAGAAAAATTCGACAAATGGATGTAATCCTGTCAAGAACAGCATTAGGGATGGGAAACATTTGTAGCCAAAAAGAATGTACTCCCTGTATAACCGACTTGACTAGCTCAACTCTTCCTGCATAAGATAAAGATTTAAGATTCCAAGCATTAATAAAAGTGGTTATGGACTCTAAAAGAGGTGCATACTGGGCCACAGATAGCTTTAAAGGTGCCAGGGGAACCCCAAGATATTTGACCGGGAATGCACCAATTTTAAAGTCCACCAATTCAAGTATAGTATCAAGCTCATAATATGCATTACCACCAAGGAAAATATTTGATTTATCATAGTTGACCCTAAGACCAGATATGTTACCAAAATCTTCCAGAGCCTCTGTGAGAATCTGTATCGATGTGGTATCACCTCTAGAAAAGAGCATCAAGTCATCGGCATATGCTACATGTGAAATATTGAGCGTTCCACACAAAGGATGGTGATTGAAGTTAGGATTTTTAGTCCTAACATTCAATAGTCTAGATAAGTACTCCAAGCAGAGAACAAATAAGAGGGGGGACATGGGGTCCCCTTGCCGAAGTCCTCTTTGTCCATCAAAATGGCCGTGGAGTGTACCATTGACTGATACGGAGTAAGACACTGTAGTGACACACTCCATAATCCAGTCAATAAATCTGCCCGGGAAGCCCAAATGGGTAAGCATACTAGCAAGGAAGTCCCATGATACAGTATCATAGGCTTTCCGGAGGTCAACCTTGATCATGCATGCATCTTGGAGACATACGTTTCCTAGAATACCCCTTGATTAATTCTTGTGCAACAAAAACATTATCAATCATAAGTCTGCCATCAACAAACGCCCCTTGGGCCTGGTCAATAAGTTCAGGGAGACACGGGATCATTCTTTTAGAAATGATTTTTGTGATGACTTTATATACCACATTGGTACATGCAATTGGTCTAAAGTCAGCCGGTGTCGGTGAATGGTTGGTCTTAGGAATTAAAGCAATAACCGTGTGGTTAGTTTGCTTTAAAAGCCTACCAGAGCCAAAGAAGCCCCTCACGGCTTTGGAGAAGTCATATCCAACCTTGTTCCAATTCTTTTTGAAAAATGCTGATGTGTAGCCATCTGGCCCTGGTGATTTGTTATCACCAATATCAAATAAGGCTTCTTTGATTTCAATGTCAGTGATAGGATTAATCAAGCCGGCAGCAGCCCCCCGAGGTAGGCACCTACCCGAGGTAACAGTAGAAGGGTCAAATCCGGATGTGGAGTGGTATGTACCAAACAAATTGGTATAAAATTTTACCAGTTCCGTAGCTACTTGGTCAATAGAAGTGGTAGGAACCCCATTATGGAGTTTTAATGCCGTAATGGAGTTTCTAGCCATATTCTTTTTCACAATAGCATGGAAATATTTGGTACATTTATCACTTTGAACAAGGTGGTTTGCTTTGGCCTTTTGCCTAAAAAAATCTTCTTCGGCCACTTTAAGATTTAGAAGTTTTTTCTTGATCAAGGAAAGCTCTTCTTTAATAGTTTCATCCAACGGTGAGAGTATAGAGAGCCCGAGGAGCCTTTTATACTCTTTCTTGGAATCCTTAACTTTTTCGGAGATGTGGCCAAAATGGAGTTTGTTAAGCTCTCTAAGTGGTCTTTTGAGGTCTTTCAATTTTTTAGCTAGGATGAATTGGGAGCTACCATATACCTCTCTATCCCAATGATTAGTGAGGATATCATTAAAATTTTCATGGTTTAGCCACATATTAAAAAATTTAAAAGGCCGAGAGGCAGCCCCGTTAGTTTGCCCAATGGCAACCACGGAAGCTACATGATCGGATTCAATTTCCATGTCATGAAAGTGGGTTTTGCACTCAATGGCCATAGTGGCCCAAAAAGAATTAATGAGAACTCTATCTAGTTTAGCCCAAAGCGAACCTCTATTCCAAGTAAGGAATTGGCCCGTGGATGGACAATCAACAAGATTAGTTTGCAATTTGAAATCATTAAGGTGTTGCATGCCATAAGCCGAGGGAGGGGAAGGACCCACCCTCTCATTTGGGATCCCAACACAATTAAAGTCTCCCATTACTAGCCACGGGCTATTAATGTTAGGCTCCAAGTTTGCTAAGTGATCCCAAAGCATTTGTCTTTCAAGCACCGTGTAGAGAGCATAAACAAAAGTGACAAAAAACTCAATTTGGGTAGTTTTACAAGTGGCATGACAATGAATATGTTGTTTGTCAATTTCAAGCACATTAACTTGAACAAAATGGGGATCCCAAAGTATGCCAATACGGCCACCATCAATTTTGTCAAAATTAGTTGTAGATAGCCAAGAAGGTAATCTACTTGAACTAAAATTAACAAAATTAGTAGTAGTCATTTTGGTTTCAAGAAGACAAAGCAAATGAATATTATTAGTGCGAATAAACTTAAGGATAGAGTTTTGTTTGGAGACCTTATTGAGGCCTCTTATATTCCATGCGGATACTATCATCAAACCCTTTTTTTGTTGTTTCCCCTCCTTCCTTTCGTGCCTTTAGGTCTCGGCCAGCCCACTCCCTTCCCAAAGCTAGGGCTCGGCTTTGCTCTTTCTTTGTACCTAGTAAGATACAATAAAGTATATGGATATTCAATGAACCATGAGTTAAAGTCATACCCGTACTCCATAGGAAAGACACCCGGAATAGCCTCCAAGCATTTGATTGTGAAAGTGAGTCCCATGGTAAGCTCATCTTGGGTTACTCTCAAGTAGTTATCAAGTCTCACCATATGATCCTTAACTTCATCGAAATGAAGTAGGTGAATCAAAGGTAAGTTGTCTTCTCCAAGTTCAAGCTTCACAATTACATCATCTCGGTATGCATCCCTAATGTCTTTCACCACACGTACTTTGTTGTAATCAACCATGTTTGGACGTTTCACAAGAGATGCTTTCCCCCTTGGACACCCATCTTCATAATATCTACAAAGATAGTGTCTAAAAACACTCCTTATAAAGGTAGGGCCAAAAGTGTACCCTTTGTTGGTACATGTGATACCGGGCAGCCCCTCCAAAGTTTGTTTTGTAAATAGCATTCCCGGTTGATCCTCCTTTACAATCTTAAGATGATGATCCATCTTAAGAATTATAGCATCCTTATCAACATGCTTTTTGTGTGTAACATTGATAGTTGGCATGAGAACTTCATCGGTTTCCATTTCAACTATCACCTCATCTTGGTAGGTGTCATGAAACTTGTGTACTTTCCGGATAAGTACATCCTCACCATCCTTGAAATCGGATGTGACAACCTCACCTCTAATGGGCTTTTTCTTTCCCATTTTAAAGAACCGGAACCTCTTGAAAAAAGGGTGATCTCTTTTGGTGACAAAAACATCATTTTGTTCATCAACAACTTCTTCTATGCTCACTGTTTTGGCAGCCCCTAAGTCCACTGTTTTAGCACTTTCGGCCTCCTCAACATGAGCAACAATACCCTTGCCTTGCCTTATGATATCTTCTTTTTCTTTCTTCTCAATTTCGGCAATGATAGAACATGTAAAGGCATGGTGTCCAAACTTTTTACAATGAAAGCAATAATTTGGAAAGGTCTCATACCTCACATATTGTGTGTGTAGCTTGCCATTTGGTAACTTGATTTGGAATTCAAGTGGGGGCGGTTTGGAGCATCTACTTCAATTAGAACTCTTGCGAAGTTAGACCTAGCCTTCTCAAGTGTAACTTTATCCGTGGTTAAAGGTATGCCCACCTTAGATGCCACCTCGCTAATAATGTCTTCTTCCCAAATTCTCATGGGAAGATGTGGAAATTGTACCCAAATAGGCACTTTAAGGAATTCATCATCGTTCATAGAAAAATCATCCGAGAGCAATTTCAAGGGAAATGTTTTACCAAACATAGTATATGGCCCTTCCATGAGCACTTTAGCTCTATCTTTCTCATTTTGGAACTTGAAGATGACCCAACCTTTATCATGGCTCCTAAACCGTGTTGGGACAGCCCATTTTTGAACAAGGATTTGCAAATTCTTGTAACCGGGGTAGCCATTATCAAAGTAACCAACAAGACAATGACCCCAAATAGCAATCATGGATGGTAGCACCCGGGTAGATAAGTCAATGATGTCTCCTTTCGGCTCGATATACCTTAGTTTCATACCCTTATCAGGTTCCCTATTGTCCTTAAAAAGTGAAACAAATGAGGGTTTAGAGCCAGCTCGCCCCCATTTGTTTTCTCCCAAAACGGCAGCCTCACTGGCATAAGGTACTGCCGCGACTTGGCTGGATAATGCCGCGGCCTGGCTGTGTGATGCCACGGTCTGGCTAAGTAATGCCGCGGCCTGGCTATGTGAAACCACAGCCTGGCAAGGTAATGTCGCGGCCTGGCTGGATGCCGCGGTCTGGATGTCAAGTGCCGCGGACTGACTGGACGGTGCCGCGGCGAGGGTGGCGATGGGTACAAGAGCCACACTCGTGTCATCTTTACTTGCTTCCACACTTTGCAGGTGCAGAACTTTATTAGCCTCAGCTGCTTCAAATTCTAGGAACTCTTTAACCGCAGGGTCAAGGGTGTACTCTTCTTCAATCGCAGCTTGCTCCACAGGGTTATCCCCAAGCAGTGGTATAACCGGGTCAGAGTTTGTGTCCAAGCCAGCAATAGAGGTAACCTCCTCGGTTGGGTCCTTGCCATCCTGAGCAACCTGCAAGCTTACATCACCCGACTGGATATCCTCCTCCAAAGAATTCTCCAGGATGGGTTCCAGCGTAATAGAGGATCGAACATCCTTTTCATGGTTATGCATCGCATCCTTATGAATTAGTGAAGTACCTTCGTTGATTTGTTCAATTGCCTCATCTATCTCCTTGTTCTGTTTAGCTCTAAGTCGGGAGGAGGACTTGGTAGGTGCAGACATGTCTTTCTTTTTTTTCGTAGTCATGGTAAGAAGGAGCAGGGGGGTAGTAGAAACCCCTGCTAAGTGACCATCTTCTTCCTTTCCTCTGTTGAAGCTCGGATGTACAGAAATGACCGTTGGAGTTGACCGAGCTTCAGACTTTTTTTTTTTTTGGAATATGCTTAATCCTCACACCAAGGGGAAGCCAGCAACACCTCCCAATCAAGGATTGGTAGAGAGGAACTGGAGATATCGGCGTTGACCTTCCCGTATGACCAGTAATGACGCAGGGTTGTTTAGTGAAAACCGACCAAAATCTCAAAACCCAGGCTTTGAGTATATGTTTAATGTTTATATAAATGGGGTCAATATATAAAATATATTCTGTATACCTCACAAGTAGTAGCTACCACTTTCCATGTGTGAAAAATTTAAACATAAAAATATGTTTCGATAATAAATTAATTAGAATGTGAAACAATATACGATAGTAATTAAATTTTTCTTTTTACAATTATTACAGGCATGATAACGAGAACGTGAAATTGGACATAATCGTCCTTATTATAATTATTACTAGGGAAAAGGGGCAAAAACACCCCTAGAGTTGTCACCAAAGGACATCTACACCCTTAAACTTTTCTTTTGGGTAAAAATCTCTAAAAATCATGAAAGGAGGGCAAATGCCCCCTTTATTTAACGGTGAACTCATTTAGGATGTTTTTACTTGGGCTGTAATTTGTCCCAGACCAGACCAGACCAGACCAGACCAGACCAGACCAGTTCAGACCAGACCAGACCAGACCAGACTTGGATAGTTATAAAAATACAAAGAAACCAGACCTTACCAGACCAGACCAGACCAGTTCAGACCAGACCAGACCAGATCAGACCAGACCAGACCAGACCAGCAAATTACAGTCCAAGTAAAAACATCCTTACTCCGTAAAAGGTTTGCAGCCGTTAATGTTTCCCTTTGAATGGTCAATTGCGTATTTTAATTTTATTTATTAAACCAATTTTGTAAATTAGTTGGAATATATAAAATATAAATAATATGATTAGATATAAAAGTAAATTCACGATCAAAAATAAATAAAAGTAAATTATAAAAAGGTAATGAAATAACGATTAACAAAAAAGTACTTCCTCGCTAAAATTGTCTTATTTTTCCTTTTGAATCCGCCCCATTAAGATTGTCTCATACCAAATCTAGTACAATATATTTCTAAATTATTCTTGTTTTGCTTTATTCTTACTTTATCAAACTATTTTTTCTTATATTTTGATACTGAAAGGGGTACACCAGAAAGGCGTGGATGTAGTAATATAAAGAAAATGTCAGATGGAAAAGCTAAAATACTTGGCTTTAAAAAAAATTGAGTCAATTTAATTCCAGAAAAGAAACTTCACAATCACTTATTTTGATTATTATACAATTCAGCTAAAATATACTATCTTCGTCCCTTAAAACTTTGTCAAGTTTGACCGGCACGAGGATTAATAAAGTAAAAACTATGTGATTGAGGTTTGTGTAGAGGAGAGGAAATTAACTAGAATCACAATTTTTTACTTGAAAAAGAAAGTGGCAAAGTTAGTGGGACATCCAAAAAAGGAAAATTTTAAGGATGGAGAGACTACTAAAATAGCTTATTTGAAATAGTTTGACAATAATATGACTAAACACGTAACATTTGATTTCGCGCGCTGAGTTGTGTAATAATAAGAAAAAGTAAGGTTAGAGTTACTTTTCTGGCTGTATTGATTGAAGTTACTGTAGATGACTATTTTAACTTTTTTTCATATAATTTTTTCTTTATTTTATTAATAAAATATATTTTAGATATAATTTATTCACAAATCGGTAGAATCGGCCAATACATCCACTTCAGCCAGATCTTCATAAATTTCAGCCAATCCAGCCGATTTCAGTGTTACTAAACATACTCTAAGGATGTTTTTACTTGGACTGTAATTTGTCCCAGACCAGACCAGTCCAGACCAGACCAGACCAAACCAGACTTGAATAGTTATAAAAATACAAAGAACCCAAACCTTACCAAACCAGACCAGACCAGATCAGACCAGACCAGCAAATTATAGTCCAAGTAAAAACATCCTAAGTAATAATTTTCTCCACCATATTTTAAAGAGTAATATTAGTGGAATTGTTTCATATTTGTTTTTACATAATCATTATTTCATTACATTATCGTGTTTTATTGGATACTTGTTGAAGTCGTACATCGAAAAATTGTAAAGTAATAAAGTAATATATTAAGATTTGAGCTACTTTTACTATCACATTGATCTTTTAAGATGGAACATATATCTTAATAGTACTTATATATGTAATTGCTTTATTTGTATTTTATAAATTTCAACTAAGTTACAAAATTAGTTAATAATACAATTAAAATATATTGCGTTTAAGATTCAAAGCAGCCACGTAACCCACGTTAACACTTGCTAACTCCGTTGACAACAAGGGGGTGGATTGCCCTCGGTTGATAGATTTTAATGATTTTTGCACTAAAGAGAAGTTTAAGGGCATAGATGCCCTTTAGTGACTACTTCAGGGGTGATTTTGCCCCTTTTCCCTTATTACTATATTATTACTTTTCTCAATGTGTGTTAAAAATATATATCATTTCTTCAATTATCTTTTTGGTTATATATTTATCAATTATCACTAGATGTTATATAGTATTAATTTTGTAGTATTGAGAACTTTCCTTAAATAAGAGTAAAAACAATTAATATTCGAAAGTAGGAGACTATATTTTCCCCAAAATAGGAGTAAATTAATGAACTTTTGAAATCATATTGCCACTTTTTGCATTATGTGACATTAATAAAACAATAGCGTTGATATAATTGATATTATTTTCCAAGCAAGATACGGAGTAATAAATGTAAAGGAATATAGTACTCCTAATTTTTTCACTCTTATTTAAGACAGTTTCCTTATAATGTTACTTTGACACCACTCATATTACATCATGGCCCGTCTCTGTTTAGCTGCTATCCCACTTACTCTAGGTAGTGGTTGATTTTATGGAATCGAATGTGCAAATAGGGAAAGGTTCTTATGAAACCAAGCATTCCAGACAAACTGGTTGTGAGGTTAACGTGCTTAGTGAGAGGTCTTGAGTTTGAAATCCGCTAGGCACATAAGGGTTTAAAACTCAATGCAGTGAGTTTCAGTCCTGATTACTCCAGTCTCCTCCCCCAGACCCCTCCCCCAGACCCCCTGGAGTAAAAAAAAGTTCTTATGAGAAACTTTCTCAATTAGAAGGAGGATCAATTTTAAAAGGCTTAAATACTTGTTTAGTCCGTGCAAACATGACATTATTTATTTTAGGTCCATGGAAACTAGATCTTGTTTGCTTCCCATGACATGCACTATTTTGGGGTTCTTTTCCGAAAATACGGGAATAGGTAACACGGCGAGCTAAAACACGGAGATTTTGTTAAGGTTTCTAAAAAATCACAGTTTGAAATGGGAATTCTGAATGAATTTTTGGGTGAAGGTTTTTCGGAAATGGGGTTTCCGATTGAGATTATGGGAGAGGGAGGTGACTAGGAGGGAGAGAGTGCTTGAAAAATGTAAAATCCCATTTTTTTTGTCTTTCGTATACCATGCAACCGTCCGACGGTGTGCAGTTCGTATATTTTGGCTTTGTTATTTATTATTTCTCCTTTTTTTTAAAACGTTAATAATTTTTTTATTTTTGATCCGATTTTTATAAAATTTATACAAAATTTTTTATTTTTCATGATCTTTCAAATGAGACCAATATTGCCTATGTAATTTTAACATATTAACATTTGCGTGTAAAAATATGTAACTTTACGTGTTAAAATATGTAACTTCACGTTCAGTCAGGACAAATGCAACTCGTGTGTATAAATATGTAACTCTACGTGTAAAAATATGTAACTTTACTTAAAAAAATATGTAACTCGCGTTCAGACAGGTCAAATGCAACTCGTGTGTATAAATATGTAACTTGCGTGTATAAATATGTAACTTTACGTGTAAATATATGTAACTTTACGTTTAAATATATGTAACTCGCGTTCAGGCAAGTCAAATGCAACTCGTGTGTATATATATGTAACTCGCGTGTAGAAATATGTAACTTTACGTGTAAAAATATGTAACTGCACATATAAAAATATGTAACTCACATGTATAAATACCTAATATAATAAAATTTTTATGTACACAATTTTAAGATAAATTGTGATTTACACAATTATTTTTCTGTATTAAATTTAGTTTGGTTTTTCTTATAATCCAATACACATTAATATAATAGTTTGATAATTTCTTAAAATTACATAAGCAATATTGGTCTCATTTGAAAGATCGTGAAAAATAAAAAATGTTGATATAAATTTTATAAAAATCGGATCAAAAATAAAAAAGTTATTACCATTTTTTAAAAATAAAAGGCTAAAAATAAAGAAATCAGGCCTCATCAATACTCCGTCGTTTTGCAACCGGGTGCACCATCCTCATGGTGTGCTGGTTGCACGATATAATTTGCGTTTTTTTGTTAAGTGGTGTATCTTTTTTAATTGTATTCCACATTTTACAAAAATTATATCAAAATTTATAAAATTTTATGATCTTTCTAATGACCTCAATATTACATACATAAAATTTAATTTATTAAATTAAGTTTCAATTGTGGAAAGTTTTCAGGCCCAAAATTTTATCTAAATAGATTCAAGTGCTAAAATTAAGATCCCATTACTAACATAACTTTTATTAACATCTTTCAGTTAATTTAAAAATAAGGTTTTAATTTTAACACTTGGATCTATTTAAGAAAAACTTTGAAACTAAAAACATCCTACTGTTTAAATTTCTTTTTTTAATTTTGTTATATATGAAATATTAATGTCATATGAAAGATAATAAAAAATTATGAACTTTGATATATTTTTTGTAAAAACGGGACCACAATTACATAACTTACAACATTTCTAAAAAAAAAATGGACTTTTATATATTGCCTAACCCCACCTATGTCCCCTACCCCAACCCTTTTTTTTCATTCGGAATCGGCAATTCCAAATCGCCCTTTTTGTACCATAAGATGGAATTCCTTGATTTGGGTTGGGGTGTTGGAAGCGAGTTTTTTTCCGTATTAATGTTAATTAATTAATTATTTACGGAAATAATGCTGGAAAAAAAGTATTTACCAAAATACTGCTGGGCCTTAACCGTGGTCAGGGCAAAGTCGCCCAACCGTTGGGCGACTTATAAGTCGCCAAACGGTTTGGCGACTTATAAGTCGCCCAACGGTTGGGCGACTTTGCCCTGAAATATGGTTTCAAGCGAGCAGCTACTGCCAGCCACGCACGATCGTGCCTATTTCCTTAGGCACGATCGTGCCTATTACCTAAAACACCAAATCAGCTTGTTTTTCGCCCCGGTTCAATCCAGACCGATCTGTTTGCTACAAATAAGGTCTCCTTTCTCCTTTTGAAGTGTTACAAACTAGATACAACACATGATAATCACCTACTCTCAACAACAACAAAAACACCTTATAAACACCGCTAAAAAACTTTCAAATCATAACCGGTATAACACAGTTCAATCATCATATATGCCATAACAAATAATCATGTAATATTCATACTCGAACACATCAATACAACATAGAATACTTAACAAGAGAAAATACATCAAAACTTGTAAATTGTTCCTACAACATCTATTGCATAAGAAAAACTACAATACAAAAGACAAACTACAAGTTCCCATCATCAGCTTCGTCATGGAGATGTTGCTGCTCATGTCTACGCCTACGGCGTTGTCGTGGTTGAAGAACCACTCTCTCATGTTGCGTCTGGGATGATGAAGCCGCGGCTGCACTAGACGCGGATGCCATCTCCGGAGATGCGGGCATGTGTATAAGATGTCCGTAGTCTACTCGACCCAACACATCTGAGCATAACGAGGCAATGCCTGTCAGAGTCTGTCCATACATGTCCACATCAGGAATATCAGTCACAGTGGCAGTAGCCCGCTGATGTATGCGCTGCAAAGCTCGGGTCTGCAATACGAAACACAATTACAATTACATTCAAATACATACAAGTATTACATAAATAAAATGACTTACTTTACTAATTAGTAATATACTCACCGTAAGATGCAATGCCAATGAGCTAGGCTGATAATGATGAGTAGGGAGTCTGAACGAAGGAGACACAAACAACCGAGTGATGCTGTAGTACCATCCCATGTAATCTCCTGAAACTGATGGCACATATGTGGGTGTCCCAGCCACGGCTAGCTCAGCTCTCCTATCCCACATAGTCACGTATCGGACATGTCTGAGTGCCTAATCCTCTGTATGCTTCCCACGCCTATCCAGCTTATGCAGCTCTACATAAGTGTCGATAGGACGTGGAATGACCTGCTCAAACCCAAACTGTCGCATGACTCTATCAGGCAAATGAAGCTCAACAATGTCAAAACATATCAGCGGCACACGTGCTCGCCATATGTGAGTCTGCTCTCGTCCAGCTGGGGGCAACTCTGCTAACATATCAGGTCTATACGGCATCCATGTGATCTGTTTCGTAAACATACAAAATTAGTATTTATTCTACACCTATTCTAGTTACTGTTATACTACACACACCATACCTGGTCCTCTGACATCCGATCCAATGCATCCCTGTACACACCGAGGCCAGTAGCGGATGACATGCGAGATAAACCAGCATATAGCCACCTAACCATTAATGTTACAATATCAATAATATGGATTTTATTAATGCATTTACATTCAACAAAAACTAACACAAATACAAACGATTGAAAACATATCGACGGCCTAGAGGGTCCACGCCCCGTACATGATGTGGTCCTAGCAGACGTGGAGGCTCATCAGGCAGTGGCTGTCCATCAATGCCATGATATCCAACTATAATGGGACGGCCAATGTGGATATACTCCCATGACCAAATCTGGAGGAGTAGCAAAAATCCCCCCAACTCTGTGCTCCCTCTCTGGCACCCGCGACACAGCTGCCTGTAGAGATAAGCCAGGGTGGCACTACCCCAGCTAAACTGTGCTGCTACATCAAACCTCTCCAGCAAAGGCAGGTGTAGCACCTGAACCTCATTTCCGCTCTTGTCAGCGAAAATGGAGGCTCCCATCATCATCAATATATACGCCCGAGCATGCTGCTGGATGATCATCTCATCAGCATACGGGGGTAAACCTTTTCTCACCTGATCCACTCATCCACGCATCAGTAAAACCTTCAGGGAGATCATACATTCTAGTGAAGTGGCTAGACGGGGCAGTTGATGTCACAGTATCACCATCATCTTCATCAGATTCTGTCATGTCGTCACCATTGATGTTCTCGTCTGCATCATCATCACTTCCCTGCCCATCCACAAATGATGCACCGTTGTGCAAATACCTGCCATCCTCCTGTATAACCATGTCTAGTACAGGAACCTTTGACGACTTCCCTGCATTCACCCCTGCAATGACATCATGCCTAGATACACCAGCATTTGATGTCGATTGAGTAGCATTAGCGTCAAAGCATTCCTCAATGTATACCTCCAGCGACGACATATCCTCCATCTGAATTATGCCCCACATATTTGTTATAGCTAGCTCATCAATGAGCGGCATAAGCATGTACTTTCCCCCGTTCATGGGAAATTTCATTTTCAACCGCAATGAACGGCCGGGATGAATCATTGTCGCTGCATGTATTTTTTGAAGGATCTCGACCATGCAAGCGCCACGAGAAACCATGACAAAGCTCGTTCTGCCACCTTCATGGCATATTTTCCCACCATTCTCATAATAGTTCCCTCCCCAATGACACACGAGTGGGAAGCTTGAGAAATCCATCTTCTAATAACAATTCATTGTCCAACATTCATGAGTAGGCATCAATATACACACTTTATACACATTCACATTTTTAATAGAAATTGCTTCCAAAATTGTAATATATCATTAACTCCAAATTCACAAACAATTCACATTTCAATAACAAACTACCCAAATTTTGATATCTACATTCAATGTCTACCTTTGAATACCCAAATTTAGGTACATTCAACTATACCCAAATGCCCAAATGTCAAAATACACATTACAATTTACAAACAATTTAAAATCATATTTCAACATTTCATACATATTCACATTTCACAACAACTTCATTCACAATCAATTCATAATCCCAAAATTAAAAAAAAATTAACATTCTAAACCCTAAGTGCAAAATTATATGAAATGGATTTGGATTTACCTAGAATAAGGAGTAAAGAGTGTTGAAGATGAATATGGAGGGTTGCCGGAGTGGAGTCGCCGGAGATGGAGGAGCGCCGGAGTTGGAGATGGCGGTTCGTCCGTCTTCTTCTTCGTCCGTCGCAGCAGCAGTTGGGGGAGGCTTCTGTGAAGTGTTCTGTTTGGGGCGATTCCCGATTTTTACTTAAGGGAAAGTCGCCCAACGGTTGGGCGACTTATAAGTCGCCAAACCATTTGGCGACTTATAAGTCGCCCAACCGTTGGGCGACTTACCCCCGACCATGGTTAACCCAGCAGTATTTTGGTAAATACTTTTAACCCAACCCTATTTTCGTAATTAATTAATTAATTAACATTAATACGGAAAAAAACTCGTTGGAAGCTCCTGTTGTTTAGGAATTTTCTCCTATTTTGGATTGAGTTCATTTCTTATTGTTAAACCACTCTATTTAGAGAAAACAATATTTTTGAGGGCATAAATCTACTAGAAACCTTTTTATTTACCCTTATATAATTTTTTGAGACTAAAATGAGACTTAAAACAATGTATAACTAAATATTCACATTTATAAACACTGACTACCCATACATACATTATTGTAAAGATAATTTAGAGATAGAGAGAGAAATGAGAAAGTATATTAAGAATCCAACCCTTGTGAACCTCCCAGGTGGGAGAATATATGGGGAAAATATTTAGAGATGCTCTGAAGTGGGCAGTACCAGACATATGTTGGTGTAATAAATGGGCCTCCTGATGACTAGAGGAGAAGGAGCCGAGGTTTCCGACCTTGGTGTGCCGAGGAGTACACGTCGAGGGAAATATGTCAAACGGTAACTAATTGCTTGTTGGGCTTTTAGTGGTCCGTTGAGCCTGTGCTTGAGTGGCATGAGTATGTGGGGTGGGGAATCCAGAACCATATAAATCATCATACATTATAAAAGTATGTATTAAAATCTCTCCAATTCTAAAATTAAAATTTGATAGGTTTATATTAACATGACTAAGAATTGTATATGTAGACGTCCTATTAGTCAGGGTTGTTTCATAGTCAAACACAGATTGTTATCTTAGTGATGGACTAAAAAGGAACCCAACATAAATTTCAAGTTGCATGATTCTAAAACAAAATTTACTATATTTGAAGGGAATAAAATAAAAATAGATTTAAACCATTGTTAAATAGAACTTTTAATCTTTTCACATTAGTTTTGCAATCAATAGCTAATATTGATAATATGACGTTTTTGTAATTATTTAATACTAAATTGCAAAAAATATCAATTGAAATAGGGGTAAGTACAAATGGGATCAGAATGTCTCATTCATTATAAGAAGTTGTTATTGTAGGATGAGTTGTCACTAGAACTCCATGTATATGTGTACATAGGGGTTTTAATGAAAATGGTTTTTAACGTGCAAACAAGAAAACATGACACTTTTAAATCAATTCGATGCAATGTGAGGATCATCTGATTCACTTTTCAAACTTTGGCCACAGCATTCAAATATCATAAATAATTGCACCATCGTCAATCGTAATGTGCATCATTTTAGATTATTCTCATTTGTCACGGAAAGAAATGCATGCTCTCAGTGGAGCCGGATCCTATATATACCATTGGGAACAAAGGAAAGCCTGATTTTAGGAGAGAAAAATGAATCCGATATGATGCGTTAAATTTAAGAATTATGGATTCACGCGAAAGAGAAATGTCCACTAGAAAATGGGTGACATTTTTGTGATTAACCTAAACCTTTCTCTACCTATTTGGAGTGTGCATTATCATAATTATAAATGTGTATCGTCATGAACCTCAATACAAACTCATAATTTGTGTTTGATAAGCTATAAATGATCACGATTTCATGCACTCTAAAGACGTGGAAACTGATTTCATTGATATTACAGGCGAACGCTGTTTCTCTGCGTTCAAGTTTAATGGGAACATATGTTTTATTCCTCTGCGGGTCAGCAATCAAAAGGTATTATATTTGTGATTGTTATTATTATTATTATTATTATTATTTTATAATTATAATTATTACTATTAATATTATTATTGCTATTACTACTACTAATGTTGCCACCACCACCATCACTACTATTTCACTTTAGTACGACTTCATGTAATTGATCTTTTGTTATTTACAATCTAAGTAGGATTTGTTATTTTAGTCCTGAAACTTTTGATTGTGCCCTTTACTAGCTAGTCTCGCTATTTTGCTCACTTGCAAAATTGATGCTGCAACTAATAAATATCTTCATCAGAAAATACATTATACGAAAAAGAACATACACAAAAAGATATCACTAATATTAATTGTTTTGGTAAGAAGTTTACTTTTCGATAGAATAGTACATCCTTTCTCCTTAATGATTTAGTGTGGGTAATTTTATTAGTTAGAAAATTACAAGTAAGTAAAGTTACAACACTAAAAAAGAATACTATCAAAAATTACGAAACTTAATTTAAAATTTTCTCTGCATTCAAATAATGTTTGGAGGGGCGGGGTCCATAAGGAAGGCATAGGGCAGTTTCTCCCTCTTAATCCCCACCAACCCCAATATGAAGTGTGTGTAATATAATATAATATAATATAATATAATATAATATAATATAATATAATATAATATAATATAATATAATATAATATAATATAATATAATATAATATAATATAATATAATATAATATAATATAATATAATATAATATAATATAATATAATATAATATAATATAATATAATATAATATAATATAATATAATATAATATAATATAATATAATATAATATAATATAATATAATATAATATAATATAATATAATATAATATAATATAATATAATATAATATAATATAATATAATATAATATAATATAATATAATATAATATAATATAATATAATATAATATACTAAATGTTGAGTTTAATCCAACATGATATAGTAAATATATGTATGAATGTGTATGAACAAGCTCAGTTTTTACGTGGAAACACGAAAGGTAGAAAAACCACGGGACTTTTAAGGCTAATGTCCAAGTCCTCTCATTCTCATTAATCTCTCCTCACCAATACATAGTACAATCTGAGCTCCCATTAATAGAGTATTGTAAGTAAGCTAGCTAGAGAGAAGGAAGAAGAATAAGCTAAGGAAAAAGGGATCCCTAAACATGTGGGAAAGCCCCATATTTATAGGGGAAAGGGAGTGGGGTAAAACCTACCCTAATGGGCCAAATGGGCCCAAAGGCCGAAACAGGCCCAATAGGCTTGGAATGGCCTCCGCCATCCGGGCTCTGAACTGGGGTAATATCTTGGACCCTTGAACAGTAGTAGACCGGGATAATATACCTCAACACAAGTCCCCCAGTTTTTTGAGTAGTGAGTGTGTGAATCTACTCGAGAAAGTATATTCTTACCCATGCCCTTCCTTGAATCTTGTCTTCAAGTAGTCTTGCTTACACATGGCCTCGGTCTTCGGAGCAAGGCTTAACAATGCCTTGGCCTAGGTGTGAAGGATTGGGGCATTCGGCCCACGAATGTCCGACCCGACTTCGTTTGGACGTTCAACCCCTAGGAACTCGGCCTAGATGTATCCTTGCTATTGATGCACGACCCTGGTAGCAGTCCTCAGAGTCGTCATACAGCGACAATCCTCGGCCTATTCCTAGAGACGTTCGTCCTCCGGATGCAAGGTTGGGTTTCCCTAGATGTCCGATCCCTTAACGGTCAGCCCGCTCGAACTCTAGTTGTTGGGGCTCTGGAATTTTCCTTCTGGATGCCCGGCCCAACATGCTTAGGAGGATTAGTCCCTAGAAACCCGACCCGACTTCCTTTGGACGTTCGTCCCTAAAAACTCGGCCTAGATGTGTCCATGCTGTTGATGCACGACCCGGTAGCAGTCCTCGGAGTCGTCATACAGCGACAATACTCGACATATTCCTAGAGACATTCGACCTCCAGATGCTAGGTTGGGTCTCCTTGGGACCTTTCTACCTCAACATGCTCAGCCTGGGCATGCCCGGTCTCAGGATGTGTTGCTCGTCTCAAAGCCCTTGGCCTCTAGGGTGGAGAAGCTCGTCTTCGGGCCTAGGCCACTGGACGATAGATGATCGTCTTCGGGCCCTCGGCCCCCGGGGTGAAAGATGCCCGTCCCCGGGCCTAGGCCACTGGACGATAGATGATCGTCTTCGGGCCCTCGGCATCCGGGGTGAAAGATGTTTGTCTCCAAGCCCTTGGCCTCTGATGGTCTTCTTTAGATCCTCGGCCACCGGGTGGAGGATGCTCGTCCCCGGGCCTAGGCCACTGGACGATAGATGATCGTCTCCAAGCCCTTGGCCTCTGATGGTCTTCTTTAGATCCTCGGCTTCTGAGGTGGAGATGTTCGTCCCCAAGCCCTTGGCCTGAAGGTCTTCTTTAAATCCTCGGCCTCTGGAATGGAGATGCTCGTCCCCAAGCTCTTGGCCTTTGATGGTCATCTTTAGACGCTCGGCCTCTGAGGAGGAGATGATCGTCGACGGCCCTTGGCTCTTGGGGTGGAAGATGCTCGTCTTCAAGCCCTTGGCCTTTGATGGTCATCTTTAGACGCTCGGCCTCTGAGGAGGAGATGATCGTCCACGGCCCTTGGCTCTTGGGGTGGAAGATGCTCGTCTCCAAGCCCTTGGCCTTTGATGGTCATCTTTAGACGCTCGGCCTCTGAGGAGGAGATGATCGTCCATGGCCTTTAGCTCTTGGGGTGGAAGATGCTCGTCTCCAAGCTCTTGGCGCCGAGGTTCTTTTTTAGCATCATCTCTCATCGGTCGTCCCGATTATGATCTTTATCTGCACAATGAACATAGTAATGCGGCCAAATGGCCAGACAATATGTATATGCGTGCACATTTTTTTTCTAGGTCGGCTTGGAGCTCTTCCGGGTATGACGGTCGGCCTAAGGGTACGATGACCCTTGGCTCGGTCCGTCAGCTAGTTCTTCAGGACATGAGCGTTGGCCTTAGGGTCCGACGACCCTCGGCTCGGCTCATCTCCTTATTAATAAATTAAAACAACTCGGTGGAAGCTCATCCCCGAGCTTCGCTCGGCCTTATTTATTTCAGGATATTTTAATCCCAATTAAAATAATGGTGGCGTAGCAAATTAACTAATAGCAACAATACTACTCTGTAGTATCAATAACTAACCATTTTTTAAGCATGGGTACTTAGCTTTTGGATGGGTTGAACTTGGCATGTTGCTGGAGAGGTGGACCACAGACGGCGCCAGTGTTGAGTTTAATCTAACACGATATAGTAAATAGAAAAAATGGCAAAAGTAGGACTCTCGGGTTTTGATTAGACAGAAATGGGATTAGTTTTCATTCAGGACAAAAAAGGGAGTAAATTAATAAGAAATGACTCAAATATCCTGAAACCTAACTTCCAATTACCCGCTACCCATCTTCTTCGAAGCATTTGACTGATCTGGAGATCCGCGCCGCATCAATCTTCCTTCTTCAAAGATGACGTCCAAATTCAGCAACGACAACGATGATGGTAGAGCTCTGGAAGATGGAGATGGAGATCTGGAAGATGGCGACGGAGCTCTACGGTGACGATAATGGCGACGGTGAATATTTCATCTTCACTGTCTTCTTCTTCACTTTTAGATCTCGGAAAAGTTTTCCCTACCTTCTTCTTCGCCTTTAGATCTCGGAAAAGTCGTCATCGTCTTCTTCACTGCTGGAGGCTCCTTTAGATCTATGCTTTGAGCTTTGAACGGGGGTGGGAAGGGGCGGTGATGGACAGCAGCGGTGTCCAGGGGCCGGCGGTGGTTGGCGGCCGGCGACTTGCGGTGGCAAGGGGTTGGGGAAGGCTAGAGAGGGGTTATGGTGGGGCTGGAGCTGACTGGATATTCCGGCTGCCGGAGAGGGGTGGAGCGCTGTCGGTTCACTGGCAAAAGTGGCCGGCAGCGGCGCAGTCGCTATCAGATCGGGGAATTGTAATTAATGGGTTCGGGTAACTATAACTGATCGGGTAAGATAATTAATTGGTTGGGTAATTGTAATTAATTGGTTGGGTAATTGTAATTAATCGGTTCGGGTAACTATAATTGATCGGGTCAGATAATTAATTGGTTGGGTAATTGGGTAGGTCGGGTAACATTAATGGTCGAGTCGGGTGAGTGAGTAAATGTAGTTGGCGAGTCGGGTAACTGTAACATGTGAGTCGGGTAAGTAGTTAACTGTAACTGGTGAATCGCGTAATTGTAACTGGCGGGTCAGGTAATTGTAACTTGTGAATCGGGTAATTGTAACTGGCGAGTCATGTAATTGTAACTGATGATTCAGGTAATTGTAACTGGTGGGTTATGTAACTGTAATTGGACATGCCAGGTAACTATAACTGGACAGGCCAGCTAACTATAACTGGACAGGCGGGGTAACTGTAACTGGACGGGTCATGTAACTGAAACTGAGGATTGTAGGTAACTGGTGGGACGGGTCACTAAAATATTTTTTGTCACTGTCATTTTTTGTTGTCACCGTTTCATTTTTGGTCACTTTTGAGTACTAGTAACTGAGACGGTAGTCACTTAGTCGGGGTTGTCATTGAGATAGTTGTCACACGATTTTCATATCCTAATTTTATTTATTTAGAAATAATACTACTTATTAAAATATTAAAATAATATTCTTTAAAAATAATATTAAAAAAATATTATAGTGATTGAATTGTGGGGTGCATTAAGAAAGAATAGTGGTACGATAAATAAAAAAAAGAATAGTGTTACGATGCTCCACACTTACGAAGAAGAAGCCACTAACGGAGTGCATTAAGAAAAAACAGTGGTATGGTGCTCCACACTTACGAAGGGCAGATTAGGAAGGAAAGTCTTCATTAGTCTCATTTTGAGAAATTAAGAAAAAAGGTCTCTTTTTTGTCCATTACCTACTTTTTAGTAATATTTGTGCCAAAACCCCTAGTAAATATATGTATTAATGTGTATGAACAAGCTCAGTTTTTACGTGGAAACCCGAAAGGGAGAAAACCGCGGGACTTTTTAGACTAATGTCCAAACCCTCTCTTTCTCATTAATCTCTCCTCACCAATACATAGTACAATCTGAGCTCCCATTAATGGAGTATTGTAAGTAAGCTAGCTAGAGAGAAGGAAGAAGAATAAGCTAAGGAAAAAGGGATCCCTAAACATGTGGGAAAGCCCCATATTTATAGGGGAAAGGGAGTGGGGTAAAACCTACCCTAATGGGCCAAATGGGCCGAAATGGGCCCAAAGGCCGAAACAGGCCCAATAGGCTTGGAATGGCCTCCGCCATCCGGGCTCTGAACTGGGATAATATCTTGGACCCTTGAACAGTAGACCGGGATAATATACCTCAACACTAAATGTAAGTAATGGACGGATATTATATTACTTACTAATACGGAGTAGCTATTAATTGCGGGAAGGTCATATGTTCAATTCCTTATATTGTACATCATTAGAACTAAAATGTAGAGTTAGATCTCTTCTAGTGGATTTTTTTTAAAGCTAAATTTTTTTGAAGTGACTTGATAGTTTTTAATATTTGTTCTATTTGAAAGTTTAAATCTCACTCAAATAATCAAAATATTAATTTAATAGAAGGCTTTGCATATATTAAAAACTACTTAAATTAAATGTGACTATATATATGACTATGTATATGTACTTGATTCATCCCTTATTTAAATCATTTATTAATCATTGTAATTTTTAACAAATCACTCCCTCCGTTTCGCAAAGTCACACTTTCTTTTTTTGGATGTTTCAAAAACAAAGTCACACTTCCCTTATTTCTTTATTTGGCAAAGAAATATACTTCAAAACAGTGCCAAACAGTGTCAAACAGTGTCTAAACAGTGCCAAACAGTGTCTAAATAGTGTTTTCTACAGTAAAGTCAATTTATTTGCTTAATCCTAGCTAGAAGTCAAACCGTGACTTTCTTTGCGAAATGGAGGGAGTATAAGTTATGTTACTAAGATTTGTTTATGAGGAAGTGAAATTCTATGGAAGACCAAATGTTTTATTTCAAAAAATGTCAAGATTTTTTTGACGGAATCAAAAGTGAAGTATGATATCGTAATATATTTTCATCAAATTGTTCATTACTGATAGTTGATTTTAGAATACAATACCTCCCTCTGATAATGCAAAATACATGCTGATTTGCCGCGACTTTTTAGAAAGAAAAAAATAAAGTGTTTATTTTACAATTGTAACCTCCAAACGTAAGAAAAGTAAGATGGGACAATGGAAAGTAAAGGTTGAAATGATCAATAAAGGAATATATTAAGTGCGAAAGTAAAAAGATTGTTGAGTTCAGCTTGAAAAATCCTCATATTTTTTGGACAATTCAAAAAGGGAAAAGTATGTTACATAAAGGGACAGAAGGAGCGTTTCTGAATAGATGAACTGGTTATACAGAAAGGGTCACCAAATAAAAGAGCCTCATTTTTAAAAATATTATTAGTATTATACGTAGTACTACATCTGTCTCGCTATGTTTGGGACAAGAGCGTGTGACACAACTTTTAAGAAAAAATAAAATTATTTGGTTGATATTGAATTAATAAAGTGAATAAAGTAAGAATGAATTGTAATCACCCAAATATTACTAAATATAAAATATAGTACGAGACAAACTTAATGAGACGGATGTAAAAGATAAAATGATACAAAGTTAGTAGATGGGGGAGTATATTAACATCGATCGATAAAGTATACGAAGTATGAAAGAGTACTGCATATCCACTGCTTTTTATTCGTCATCCTTTTAGTCATCATTTTCTCAAATTGCTTGAGCAATGATCAGTTGTGTTGCTTTTCAGTTGTATGTTGCTTCAATTCAAATTTTAAATATATTTTGGTTATTTTTTATTTAATTTTAAATTGCGTAGTTTAATGCTTGTTCAATTTATTTGAGTATAATTAAGTGTTTAGATTCTAAATATCTTTTAGTTTTTACATTAATGTGAGGCCTCAAATTCATTAGGACATAGTCCCGGAGAGAGATCATTACATTATTCATGATGATATGATACGTTCTAATCTTTAATAAATGGGTTTATTAATATTCTAGTACGTGTTTGAACCCTGAAGAAAATTTCTAGATGTGTTTCGATGAATTATTGTTAAGATTGAGGTTCCATCTAGATTAACGGAGGAGTAGCCAAAAACCTTATATAGTGTTTTATTGTTTTATAGCTTTCCAGTGTGGGACAAAAATTCCCACGCCCCCTCAGCAATGGCGGACCCACTAAGGGTCCCATGGGGTCCCGGGACCCTGTGGACTTCGAAAAAATTACCTATATATTATGTATATTTACAAAATTTACTTACATTTGACATGTATGTATAAAGAATATGCGACTTAGATATCAGATTGCTGGAGTAGATAAGTGGTAGATATGAATGTTGCTAATGTTTTCTCCACCCCGAGTTGCAGGGTTCAACTCCCACCTTAGTCGACTTTTATTTTGAAACTCCAAATTAAGTCATCTTCTTCAATTTTTTAAACCCCTTCCAACCACGACAAATCTATTGCTAGATACGGTATCTCCCTTTAGACCTCAACCACCTCTCATTTCTTTTTGAATTAATTATAAAATTTCATTCAATATTAAGATTAAATTAAAAAAAATGTATTTAAGAATGTTATTTTTTTGAATTTTTACGATTACGGATGAAAAGATATTTCAATAGTATACTCATATTGAAAGAAATCTAGAGTACCGAGAGTAGTTAAGATATTAATTCAAATGATTCGGCTTTAGTAAATACTCCTATTGTTGGGTCTAGTACTTGTTGAAAGTGAAACTAATTTGGCCTATAATCTACATGAACAACATGTTGATTTTATCCTAATGTTCAAAATGAGGTACATCGTAGTTACCGTAAAAAAGGTCGTTTCAACCTCGGGATCATGATTTCCCTATTAAAGTAATTGACGACAAAAAACGTAGATTTGTTTCAAGTTGATTTGATGAGCACAAATGGTTGGAATAGAGTATTACCAAAGATGCTGCATTTTGTTTACCATGCTATTTGTTTAAGAATGATTGGGAAGTCAATGGTAATCATTTTCTGGGAATAGGATTTCCAGCATGGAATAAAAAAGATAGGTTTATGTACAAATTTCCAACAAATGACCTATATATTGAAGAATTGTTTTGACTTTTATATGTAATTTTTTTTCTTTATATCATCTTAATGTTCTGGTGATGATATGCCTTATGCTTACTAATATTTTTCTGTAATTTTATACTAATGAGAGTTACATTAGTTTAGGGACCCCGTGGCTCTGATTTTCTGGGTCCGCCACTGCCCCTCAGCCCGGACCGGGCTGGACAATATCGGGGTGTATAGATTTGCCAAACAAACCCTTAACAAGCTACCACTAATCATGGGTGGTAAACAACCCGTCAAATTAACTACAACCGGAATTGGCTATGATACCATGTTAAGATTCGGGGTTCATCCTAAGAGGTTAACCTAATAGGAGGAATATCCCAAAGTCTTATATGGTGTTTTATTGTTTTATATATAACTTTCCGGTGTAGAACAAATACTCTAACAATTATATTTACATGCATGTAGTGAACCTCCGGTTGACAAATGTGCGGGATGGGGAGGATCAGATACGTCTAAAGTTGATGCGCTCACCATCATAGTAATGTTTCAATAACCGGTTTATTAATGGTTCTAGTGTTTTCTTTTAATTGCAACACTTCTCTTTTCACAATTGTCAATGCACAATTTAGACCATTTATATATTTAACTCTCTAATAAAAATAAACATTAAGAAATTTACGACAATACAATATTTGACCATGTTTTCTATATTATGTAATAAAAAATAAAAAATCGCATTTTGAAAATTTACGACAAGACAAATTTAATGATATTTTTAAAAAATTAATTCGGTAAGACATTAATGAATAAATTATAGTAAAAGTAAAACATGTGAATAGTGTAAAATTTAACATTGTTGAATTGCAATTACGCAGAATTTAAGAATGGGGCTAGTAAGACCAAACCCATAAACTGAAAAGTTCTTAATAGTTGATATTTTTTATCAGAAGTTTACCTACTCATTACATTTTCTGATAAACTCATCATGCAGGGCTTTCTGGTGGCTTTCGGTGCAATGGTGTTTGCAGTGTACTCAACAGGCATCGATTCCGAATCATTCAGGGTCATAACAAAACATATACCATGCATACCTCAGAACAAATATGATTATGATGATGATGATGTTCCATATGGCTATGGATTCTTTCACCTTGTTTTTGCCACAGCCTCCATGTATTCGGCAATGCTATTTGTCAATTGGAATATCCATCACCCTTCGGATAAAAAGTAGGCAATAATGATGGCGTTCTGGATTATATATTGTATACTTCCTCCGTTCCTTTTTAATTGCAACAGTCAACATTTCACGTTTGCCAACGCACAAGTTTGACCATTAATATCTTTCATTCCGTATTAGTAATAAATTTAAAAAATTCATATTTTGAAAATTTAGAATGAGAAGAATTTAACAATATTTTTTGAAAATTTAATTTATAATACATCAATTAATAAAATGTAGTCAAAATAGAATATGTGAATAGTGCAAAAAGTCTCACGTTGCAACTAAAAGAGAATGGAGGTAGTATAATTTTTTCCCTACTTTTTTTATGAATTTCCTAAATTAGGATGTTTTTACTCGGACTGGAATTTTTTGGTCTGATCTGATAGATGACTGATCTCTATGATCTGGTATGATCTCGTCTGGTCTTATGTGATTTGGTCTGGGACTGAAAACAGTCCTAGTAAAAACATTCTTAATAATATACTCCGTATGAATATTTAGTCATATTTAGGAAAATTTCCCAAAAACTAGTCGTATGTATATAAAGAATAATACGGAGTATATCTCATAAAAGCTTGTAGATCTAGTTGTAGTTCAATTAAATATGCATACAAAAATATGATCATGAACCACATTGATTGGGTTATGCAGGTTTGCAATTGATTCTGGATGGACTAGTACTTGGATGAAGATAGCAAATGAGGTTTTTACAGCGATTGTATACGGTACTTTTTATTTGATGCTTCATTTAAATAAGAGTTGAATCTCAGTCAGTCCAATAGTAAGGCAGTTAATTAATTCAATCTCGTATAAGCTATATCTTTATATTTCAACTCGTTTTCTCGAAATTGGATGAAATGTCAACAGAAAATGTTTCATGGGTTTAATGCACCAAACTCCCTCGTCATATAGAAATTCAGTGCATTAACCCCCTGTGATTTAAAAAATGCGTCAAACCCTCTTATCTTAGAAAGTGAAAGTGTGAAGTATGTTAAAAATCAATTATATACTCCCTCTGTTCCAATATTAATTTTATTCTTTGCCTATCAGTTTGTTCTAATATAGATTTCTATATCTCTTTTTGATAAAAATTTGTGGTTCATAACATTTGTTTCGAGTTTCTCCCTCTGCACTACTTTAGGTCACAAATTTCTCATTTTTTTTTAATTCGCGAGCAAAGTAAAAAAAGGAAATAATATTGGGACAGAGGGATCGGAGTACTCTCTATGAGTTTTTATGTTGTATTTAGCCGATGTTGGAAGACGTAATACTCTCTACGTCCCATTTTACCTGTCCTACTTTGCATTTTGGGTTGATCCAAAATAAATGTTATTTTTTTGTTTTGAAAAAATATATTACTCCCATTTCTTTTAATTGCAACATTGGACTTTTTGCACTATTCACATATTCTACTTTGCTATATTTTATTTATTAATATATTATGAATTAAATTTTTAAAAATATTTTTAAATTCATCTCATTTTAAATTTTCAAATTCTGAAATTTTCAATTTTTTTACTAATAAGGAATTAAGGATGTTAATGGTCAAACTTGTGCGTTGACAAACATGAAAAGTGGATCGGTGTAATAATTAAAAAAGAACGGATGAAACATATAGTCTATAACATTCACTTTATTATACTCAGGTCTCCACGATATATTTTACTTTTTGGACGATCTAAATAATTACGTCAAATCAAAATATAGGATACATAAGAGGAATAATACTTGTTTGTATGCTAATCAAAGTAAGCCGTTTTTTCAGCAATCGTTCTCTTTGCTGACATTCGTGCTGGTGATGGTTGATTATTTGTAAGTGGTGTTGTATTTCAAGGAGGTAATCTAAATGACGTACATTATTCGAGATGAAAGAGAAGCAAACGATTTGCTCTAGACACACACACACATATATATATATATATATATGCTTTTTGGTTCATTTAATTTTTAGGGGGCGTCCTCAAACTTTACGGATTTGACAATGTTCTTTATGGCCGGCGTGAAAGTTTCTTCATAACTTTTTCAATGTCGAGTAAATGAATTCATATACAGATCTATTGAGTTTGATAGTTAATTCTTTCTTACATGCAAGATAGATAAACGAATGTGCTTTGAAAAAAATAGATGAATGGTAGGATAACTAGTTGTGTTTTATGCATTTCAATATGTACTCTTTGTTGATTATTTCAATATATGAGAATCAAGATCTACACATCACAAAACATATTAAAATTATAATCATATACAAGTTCAATAAACTTACATGATGGGAAACCAATCTTTGGTAGACCATGATTAGATGATGAAAAGCCATTGTTGTCCTTGTGATGAACGGATGTGTAATCCCTTTTAGGACAATAATAGATGGAGTGAAATTTAGAGAGTTGTGATTTCTCTCTCAACTTTATGGTGTTTGAATAATGCATGTGTATGTGCGTGTGATGCAATGGGTAGAGAAAATGAGTATTTATAATAAGAATACTCAATACTCACAACTCTTCATTCTTGTCCTAAAGGGTGTGACCACATTGGTACCTGTTAAGTATTATTTCCATCAAATAATACATATATATATATATATATTACATAAACATTGAACACATATTAATATTGGTCTTAAGGCCACACTAATTAGAAATAATCCAACATTATTCTCCCACTTAGCCGAGTGACTAATAATCATTAAGTTGGCCGAGTATGTGTTCTACATACCCAATATCTATACTATAATAGAGAAGTATAGTCACATGCATCTATGTAGATATAGGACCCCACTAATCATATTATAGCACATGTATTAGGACTTTAAGGTCATTAAACATAAATGATCAAATGTAATGGGATAATTTTTTTCTATGATACCAAAATAAGTGCGCACGGTATACATGTAATAGACAATTAAGAATTCAAGTATTTATTTATATACATGAATTGTTCATAAGAGCACTATGCCAATTAAGTGAGGTCTCGACTAAAACCCATTTCATCACATTTTCATCACTAGACCTTTAGTCATCGGATCCGCTAGCATATCATGAGTGCTAATGTACTCGATACAAAGATTATTTTCTTCCACTCGTTCACGTACAAACAGGAACTTTGTATCGAGATATAATCCAGCCCCGCTCGAACTTTTTCCATTTGAAAAGCTTACGGCTACAGAATTATCACAATAAATCTTCAGTGGTCTCGAAATGGAGTTTACTACCTTGAGTTCTTTAATTAGATTCCTCAATAGCATTCCATGACATGTTGCATTGTAAACCGCAACATATTCCGCCATCATAGTTGAGGTGGTAGTCAATTCCTGTTTATGACTCCTCCATCATATCGGCCCACCTGACATCATAAAAATATATCCCAATGTCGACTTCTTATCGTCTTTGCATTTAGCAAAGTCAGAATCAGAAAATCCCACAACTTCCAAATCATTAGTTCTTTTATAAACAAGTTTGTAATCTTTTGTCCCTTGAAGATATCTTAATACTTTCTTAGCGGCTTTCCAATGATCTAGTCCAGGGTTAGATTGATACCTGCCTAGCATGCCAGATATATAAGCGGTATCAGGACGAGTACAAACTTGAGCATACATCAAACACCCTACTACTGATGCATGGGGAATTAGTCTCATTTGCTCCTTTTCTTCTTCAGTTTTTGGACACTGAAATAAACCATAAACATCTCCCTTAACTACTGGAGCAACTGATGGGGAACAATGTTGCATATTGAAACGCGTGAGGACACGTTCAATGTATGCCTTTTGAGACAAACCTAAAGTCCCATTGGCGCGATCTCGATGGACTTCAATGCCTATCACATAAGAGGCTTCTCCAAGATCCTTCATGTCAAAATTAGGTGAAAGTAATCGCTTTGACTCATGCAACATATCTAAGTTGTTGCTTGCCAACAAAATATCATCAACGTAAAGTACTAGAATGGCAAACTTGCTCCCACTCATTCTCAGATATGTACATTGATCAACTTGATTCTTTATGAATCCATTTTTCTTCATGACTTCATCAAACTTCAAGTACCACTGACGTGATGCTTGTTTGAGCCCATAAATTGATTTCTTAAGTTTACAAACTAGGTGTTCCTGTCCCTTAGACTTGAAACTTTCTGGTTGGGACATATATCCATCCTCATGTAAGTCTCCATTAAGAAATGCCGTTTTAACGTCCATTTGATGTAGTTCTAAATCGAAATGAGCTACTAAGGCCAATAGGCCATGACAATCCTTAAGGAATCCTTTCTCGAAACCGGTGAGAATGTTTCCTGATGGTCAATTCCTTCCTTTTGGGTATAACCCTTCGCAACCAACCTCGCTTTATAACGTTCAATGTTTCCTTTCGGGTCAAGTTTTGTTTTGAAAACCCACTTGCATCCTACGGGTTTAGCACACTTAGGTAATTCAGCAAGTTCCCACACATTTGTTTTGCTCATGGAATCAATCTCATCAATCATTGCTTCATTCCAATGAGGAGATTGGTCGCTCATAATAGCTTCATTATAAGTAATGGGATCATTGCATTTTCCCAAGTCACTAATAGCCTCATTAAGGTATACGACGTAATCATCAAAATTAGTAGGGCATCTACATTTGTGAGATCTCCTTAGTGGCGGTTCGGGCTCATGAGATTCTACTTGAATCTCCGGAATTGAATTGAGTTGGTTTATGTTGTCATTTGCCTCAAAATGTGATGTACCACTGGATGTACCTTCATTAAATGGTACATTTGAGGCACCATCATCTTCAAGAGATGCATTAGGCATAATATGGATCGCCGGATCGGTATAACCATTGTACTCTCCTCCCTCATCTCTTGGAGATCAACAACATTAGGTGAAGAACTCCCACTCATGTTAGAATTCTCTAGGAACTCAGCATGTCTGGTCTCAAAATGCGTGTACTATGTGAAGGGCAATAAAACCGGTATCCCTTAGAACTTTCGGGATATCCAATAAAAGAACAACTGATAGTTTTCATGTCAAGTTTTCTTTGTTGGGGATTATAGAGTTTAGCTTCAGCTGGACATCCCCATATCTTGAGATAGCGTAAACTTGGTTTTCTTCCTGTCCATTATTCATAAGGAGTTTTAGAGACAGATTTTGAAGGAACCCTATTCAAGATATGAACTGCCGTTTTTAATGCTTCTGTCCATAAGTATTGAGGCAATGTGGAGTTAGCCATCATACTCCGCACCATGTCCATAAGGGTTCTAATTCTCCTCTCGGCGACGCCGTTCTGTTGAGGAGTACCTAGCATGGTGTATTGGTTAACTATTCCATGTTCTCTACAAAATTCAAAGAAAGAACCAGGAGATTGACCAATATTGGTGTGTCTACCATAGTACTCACAGCCTCTATCCGATCTCACAACTTTTATCTTATGGTCAAATTGATTTTCAACTTCAGCCTTAAAAGTCTTAAACATATCAAGTGACTCGAATTTTTCCTTAATCAAGTACAAGTACATATATTGCGAGTAGTCATCAATAAAGGTAATAAATAATCTATGTCCGCCAATGCCTTCGGGAAAAGGTCCACAAATATCAGTATGTATTACTTCCAACAACTTTGAGCTACGTGTGGACCCTTTCTTATTCCCTTTTGCCAATTTTCCTTTTATGCATTTAATGCATGTATTGAAATCTGAGAAGTCTAAAGGTGGTAAGACTCCATCTTTTATGAGACGTACCGTCCTATCTCGGCAAATGTGGCCTAAGCGTTGATGCCATAATTTAGATGAAGTTTCCCCTTCTCTTTTCCTTTTGCTCACACATTCATCAATATTGCAGGATAGTAAGGACTCCATAAAATGATTATCAAGAGACAATTTATAAAGATAACTATCCATACAACCATAGCCAACAACATTATTATTGAAACTTATAACAACATTATTGTATCCAAACATAAAAGTGTAGCCATCATATGCTAACTTTGATACAGATATTAAGTTTCTAGTAATATTAGGAACATAAAGAATGTTTTTAAGACTTAAACTATGACCACTTTCTAACATTAATGAAAGTGATCCTACAGCTTCAACATTTAAGTCTTCAACATTCCCCAATTTAATTGTCCTTTGGCTTTGGTGCAGTTGTTGGATTGTATGGAATCCCTGCAAAGAATTTGTGACATGAACCATGGAACCAGAATCAAGCCACCATGAGTTAGCGGGAACATTTATACTAAAAGACTCACAGATCATAAACAAATCATGACTACCTTTCTTTGCAAGCCATGCTTTGAACTTGGAACAATCTCGGTTATAATGCCCTTTCTTATGACAGAATTTGCAACGAAGTTGTTTCAAAGCCCCGTTTGAGCCAGGCGTTGCACTTGTACTTTCCTTAAGAACCTTTGAACTCTCTCCAACTTGAGACTTACCTTTTCTTTTGAAAGAGCTTGAAGTAGTGGTGACATGAGCAAAATCTGGCTTCTCAACTTTCAGGCGTTCCTCCTCTTGCACAAACATGGGTATCAACTCATTCATTTTCCATTTTTTCCTTTGAGTGTTGTAGTTGATCTTAAAGGGCCAAACAGTGTGGGAAGAGAAGTCATGATGAAGTGGACTAGAAAGCCCTCACTTATCTCCATGTCCATGCCTTTAAGCTTATTTGCCATATCGCTCATCATCATAATGTGCTCACGGACACCACTAGTACCATTGTATTTTGTGGTCAACATTTTCAAGGTCAATGTACTTGAGTGAGCCTTAGAAGTGCCCTTAAATTGTTCCTCGACCGAGTCCATGTATGTCTTCGCGTTATTCGAATCAAGGATAGCACCGCGAATTGCCACAGAAATGGAGTCCATAATTATCATTAGCGACATACGGTTTGACCTCTCCCAAATTTCATGAAACGTTTTATGCTCATGAGTTGATTCAGCAGTCAAAGGTTTAGGGGGGTCATACCTCAAAGCATGGTCGAGGTCCATAACTCCAAGGGTGAGTTTAACATTGTCTTTCCATGAGATGAAGTTAGTGTCGGTAAGTGGTTCGATTCCGTAATTTGTAGTAACAGTGGATGCTAAGGAGTATAAAGAGTTAGAC